CCCCACACCATTTGCAACCAACAACAAGTCCCAAAAGACCCTCTATGAGTTCTCGTCCCCGTCATTGCTAACGTGCCCATTGGGCCCGTTATCAATGTTGGGGACAAATACTCTAAACTCCGTACTGGGCTGATCACGATGGTGCAGGCAAACCCATTCTATGGTTTGCCTAGCGAGGATGCAAATGTGCACCTTCAACACTTCCTAGAGCCGTGCGACACCATCGTCGTGAAGGATGTCGCACCAGAGATAATCAGGCTCTGTCTGTTTCCTTTCTCCCTCGTGGGGAAGGCGTAACAATGATTCTACAAAGACCAGGAAGCTATCAACACAAGGGCAAAATGCTCCATGTCATTCCTCGCCAAATTCTTCCCCATGGGCAAAACCAACACCCTGCGAGGAAGAATTTCCAACTTCCAGCAAAATGCTATGGAATCTATCCCCGAGTCATGGGAACGGCTACAAGAATAAATCCTTGCCTGCCCACACCGTGGGATGGAGAATTGGCTCGTGCTCCAAAACTTCTACAATGGGTTAACACCCATGTCAAGAGGGCACATAGAACCCACTGCTGGAGGAGCCTTCCTCTCACTCACAGCCAATGGAGCTACGGCTCTAATTGAAAAAATGGTGTCAAATCAAGGGTGGAGCGATGAGAGAAGCCAAAATAAGCAACAAAAAGGCATGCATACTGTGAAGGAGATGGATATGCTTGCCGCAAAAATAGACCTCCTCATAAAAAGACTAGAAGAACATGCTGCCGAGAAAGAAGCAATGATGAAAAGCACAGTCCAAGTCATGGACTCGCATATGACATGCGAGGTCTGTGGTGAAGTTGGCCATTCGAGGAACGACTGCCTGATAGCCCTGAAGAAGCTGCCTTCATCAACAACTGGTTTCGCTAACAAGGAGGTAATAACGGGTGGAACAATCAATCCCGTCCACCTTTCCAAGGTAATTCAAACTATAACTCCAATTACAATTTGAATCAACCTTATTTGAAAGACTTGGTCTTCGGCCAAGCAAAACTAAACGAAAATCTTACTAAAAAGCTTGTTTCAAATGATAAATTCTTGAAAATATTAATTCTAAAATTGAAAGTTTATCTTCTTCCATTAAAAATCAACTGAGCTTCAATAAAATGATAGAAACACAATTAGCTCAGATAGCTACTGCTATTCCTGTGAATAATGATGGGACAATTCCAGGGCAACCTAAAAATTCCCTTGAAAATGTCAATGCGGTAACCACGAGGGGTGGTAAGTCCACTTGTGATCCACCAAACCCTAACCATGTATCAGCAAACGCAAAAGAGCACTAGGAGGACAAACCTTCATCATGAAAGAAAACACAAAAAGAGCAAGAAGAGGAAATGACACCTCTCGAGTGACTGACACAAGCTACCTGCCGTTTCCCACAAAAAACAGAAAGCAAGCCATGGACGAGCAATTTGCTCATTTTGTTGAGATGATAGAGAAGATACATGTGAGCGTTCCATTAATGGATGTCTTGCATGTACCTTCTTACGCCAAGTACATTAAAGACATCATCAACAACAAGTGACCATTGCTAACCACAGAGGTCATCAAGCTGACAGAAGAGTGTAGCGCATCTATACTCAATAGTCTACCTAAGAAGAAGAAAGATCCTGGTGTCCCACCATCACTTGCTCAATTGGGACCCAGTGCTTCGACCATGCCTTGTGCGACCTTGGGGCTAGCGTTAGTGTAATGCCCAAGGTTGTCTTTGATCAACTAAACTTCACCCACCTTGCACCCACGCCGATGTAGCTCTAGCTGACCGACTCGGTCTACTGCCCGGTGGGGTTTGCCGAAGACATTCCGGTGAAAATCCGGGGTACTTCATCCCAATCGACTTCGTAGTGCTTGACATGGAGACAACGAAAGAATCACCCATTATCCTTGGGTGACCTTTCCTGAGCACTACGGGAGCACTACTGGAGAAATTTGCTTCAACATAAATAGCAAGGAAGAGAAGTTCGAGTTTCGGCCCAGACAGGAGCAATGCTCCATGATAAGGATCAAGTATGGGCTGAACCCACAAGGCATAAGGGAAGTTGAAATCCAACCTTAACTGGTGGATAACCTTATCAACAAGAAGAAAGAAATCAAGAAGAAGGCGGATGTGGTAGAACGGGTTATAAATAAACACTACGGTCGTACCATTAAAGGAATCATCTCTGAGCCCACAAGGAGGTTTTCATACACAAGAGTCAGCTCTAAGCATCCTTCGATCACCTGCAATAGGGGAATAAAACCCTGAGTACTCGAATGTACTCAGCAATACTTACCCGATAGGAGGAAAATAAAAAACTCCAAGGATATGCAAGGCTATCTGGCTTGTGGGTTATTGCATCTGTAGAAGCATTATTAAACATGCGTCCTTATATTCAATTTTATTAGCAGTCATCGTTAGTTCATTAACTAACCATTCTACATAAGCACCTTTGCTACTTTCAAGCAGGTGTTAAGCAATCAGAACCATTTTACCATCTTTCATATTCCAGTTCTTACTACGGTGCTAGACCATAGCCAAGTCATACCGTATCACACGACAATTCGTGAACAAATGTATCCCAGCTGGGTACCCCAAAACACAAGCCCCGCTTGTACCCCAGGCACAAGCAAGACTAACCCACCACTCTCCTATCAAGGGGTCCAGGTCCCTATCCAAACTTGGACTCCAAGCCCCCACACCTAAGTCCCGAACTCAGTGTGGTGCTTAGACCTCCACCTTCTCCGTCTCCAATCAGTCGGTCCGAAAAGAGCCAGAACCCACGACAAGAGAGCAACGAGCCTTCCTACTCCCATATGAAAGTATGTGCTTAGGATAATAAGTCTATGACCTGACTACCATCCACAACAACGGACGGTCCTCAATTGACTCAGGCGGAACGAGTGCAATCCGAGCCTCGCTCGAATGTCTAACCAAGACCAGATCCAAAGTACCATTCCACCCACTCTCCAATTATCATCCATATATATATTCCATGTGATAGTAATATGATAACAACAATAATATCTTTCCTATCTCTCGCGAGTGACAGGTAATCACTCGACTTCTACCGGGTCCTATGTCATAGCAATCTACACGATCCTAACATACTAGTAGGACTCATAGGATAAGTATATATATATATGCAAGCGGTTTTTATTCAACTCCTTAAAACTTAATGCACAAGCATAGAATCAAGTACAAAATAATAGGGGTTATGCACCGGGGGTTGCCTGGGTAAGATATAACCAAAAGTTAGCATTCTATCATAGTGACACAATCATCAAGCATCATCCTTTTCCACTACTCCAGTCGACTCCATTATCCATCATTGTTCCTATTACGATATACATGGATACAACACAGAGGCGCAATTAATCTATAGTAACTACAACTCTTAAATATACGATTACGCTCTGCAAGCTAACAAGCTAGATTTAATGAGTAACATACTTATCTACATATCCACGTCGTCAAGTAAGGCTTTATCTCCAGGAAAAATGTTCTAGTTCTAAAATCCCAAGGTGCTTTGGCATTTTATTGATTAAATATATATTTTTAAACTAGGGCTCATTTAGCTACCTTAGCAAACTAATTATTATGGAGCTACTAATAATGTGAGGAATTTACTTTGAAAGTTTTAGAGCCAACACTATCACCAATTTATCACAACAATTCCTACAAGTTTATATCTTACAATATTAAGCATCTTAAATTAATTAGATAACTCCAAAAAATATTATAAAACTATGTGAACAAAATATACTAGCAGATAGATCATAATTTTAGGAACCTAACAAAATTTGTTTCACAATTTTTGGACATCTATATCATTTTATGTTAATTATCATAGTTTAGCTCAGAAATAAAATGAAAAGCTATTTCTATTTTCCGCGAAAAAGATAACTGAATCCGGACCAACGTGGCCCACTTGAGGCATGGCCCATGCAGGGATGCGGCCCACAGTGGGGAACCCGTCACTACAAAAAAACTAGGTTTGTATGACATAAGCACACTGTCATGGTAAGTACAAAATTGGTCATAAAAAGTGTCTTATGACAAAAAAGAAGCGTCATGCCATTCGTCATATAACGACAGTCACATAATGTACCTTGTGACAATAATATTGAGAACCGTCACAAAATGTTATGACCTTTTGTGACGGTTGTCTTTCCGTCACATATTGTTATCTTTTATGACAACTGTAACTGTCACATATTGGTCAGTCAACGCGTCACCTAATGTACGAAATGTCATAAATGGTACATGCGAGGACAGTCTCAGATAAGTTTTTTTGATGACACAGAAACGTCATATATAAGTATGTGGATTTTGTGACGCCTAGATTTTGTCTTGTTTTGTATGGTAGTTAGAGACATTTTGAGACGACTGTATGGCGTCACAAATTGTCCTCTCATTCATGACGAGCGTGGCAGCCATATTCAGTGATTGACACACTGATCTTTCATCACAGCTCATAAAAGCATAATACACATATATATCAGCCAAGCCATCATCCACAACATTCTCATCACAAGTCATAAATCATACACAATTTAGTCAAGCCATTATGCATACACATAAATTCAAGACTAGAAGATAGTGGTTCAACATGTTCCAGCACACTTGTTCCACCACATAGTTCCAGGTTCCATCAGGCATGTTCCACCATGAGACGTTCAAACATATAGAGGTTCCACCATAAAGGTTCAAACATATAAATAGATTGCACATAGTTCTGACAAAGTTCCAACCACATAGTAAGTTCTAGCAAGGTAGCAAAAGCTTAGGCAAAGGCATCATCCTCAGACACTGCATTCATACCTACCTCAATCTTTCTGAAGTTTCAGGACAGCTCATAGCAATGCATTAGTCTCTTCAAACTTGGTATGCATCCCCTTCACTTCCTCTTGGGTCTGACGCAGCAAACTTTGGTTTTCTTCAAGTGCGGCCTGTTGAGTTTGAAGTTGTGCTTGCAACTCTTCCTACTTCCTAGCAGCTTCCTCTCTTTGTGCTTGGAGTGTTTCCTCAAACTGAGCTTGCAGGCGTGCTTGTGCGGCTCTCGATGTGGACCGACCAGTCTTCGATGGTCGAGGGACACCAATGTTAGGAAGGAAGGTGGATGAACGTCTGATCTGGCTGAGACAGTCAGCAACAATCTTAGATTGAGACTTTTGTTCTTCTCCTTCTTCTGGCTCTCTTTCCTTCTCTGCAACCATTTGTTCCTACATAAAATGAATCCACTTAATAACAAGGCCATACAACAGTGTTGAACCAGGCATTTACTTGAGTGCAGTACATGCATGTATCCATTGATTTTGTAACTTACATATATTTCATTTGCAAGAAGAGTACGACCATTTTGGGGACTACTCATACATTCCCCAAAGAAATCAATAGCATCTGGCTCCATGTTGCTGTACTTAGTCCTCTGCAGCATGTTTAAAACTTGGGATATAAGATTAGCCATAGATTATTTGTACATGCCAACAGCAAGATGCCAAAATATGTATGCACTATAGATCATACAAATATTTGCCTCAGTATTTTCCTCTAGATTTTTTATGCCAACAACAAATACAATCACTAGCAAAGTCAACTAATTACTGACAGTTCAAGAAAAAACAACATAGGAACATGCATCAATGCAACCTGGACAGATCAAGAATAATAACTTGGCCTAAACAACACCTACTACTGATGATGATCATCTCTGATGATATAGCAATTCCTCTTGTAGATTTTAGTTTCAATTGGTCACCATAAAAGAATTGGAGCCTAAACACCTATTGATTATAGCTCACTCGGCATAGCGCAAATATTATGAACATGGGAGCTCATCTCAAAAATAATTGGAGCACATGCTAACTTGACGGTTCAAAAGCACATGGTAATTACTAAGCTACAAATGTACAAAAGACATAGTATCCGTACCAAGCTATATCGATGGGCAATATAGGACCTAGCTCTAGTCCTTTGATGAAGCTGCACTTGGGCTCAGTTTACTTTATTCTTAGCACATTTTTCCTGCACCACATGCAATACAGAGTTGTCATTCACATGCACAGTTTGCATTGCATATTAACAAAAGCAGATAATTTAGGCATGGACCTGATTCTTTGGGTCACACCAGTACTCTACCAGCTTGGTCCATTCCTCTTTCTTCATTTTAGGTGGAGGTTGCTTGGCCAGCAACTGTTCTTCTGTCAGTGACTCGTTGAAGTACTTCTTTTTCAGGTGATACCTCGTCTGCCTTACTCCCCTCTTAATGATATCAGTGCATGCAACTTTACTTCGTGCCTCATTCTTAACATCCACATCCAACCTTGACTGAAGCCACACAAATCATTTACTAGATACAATTTTTCACATAGGAGTAGAGTAATGCAAGAGAGTATTTGGAGGAGTGAAATAGCTGTCTCACCGCCACTTTGTCAAGCACTTTTTTTACTTCTGCCTTTCCCGCATCATTGTCATAAAGCTTCCATGATGTGTAGATGGGCATGTTGTCTCTAAGGGCAACACCAGTTTTTGATGCCAGCTTCGCTGCCTGAAGTGGGACATCAGGTCTTTTCTTCCCTTCAGCCACTTGGATAGCCAGCTTCTTTCCTCTATTTCAGCATCTTCTCTAAGCCATGACCCATGGTTTTCTTGCGGACATTCTTTGGGGGCGCTGCATTGGCAAATAATGATCAAAATGTGTTATTAAAGTAGTACCAATTGTAGATAATTAATGGAGAAACAAATGCTTAGAAACTTGTATTGTTTACCTAGAACTAAGTCATCTCTTGGTTCTCCTTCATATGTATGACCCTCTAAATTAGCAGCATCAAATTGCTCAGCTGACTCATTGATGTCATTGCTTTGCCTAGAGCTCTGTCCACCTGGTGAGGTGTCTGCAGGAACTGCTTGGTTAACACTAGTTGTGGGAGTAGGTTGCTGAGATTGGGTACTAGTGGCTCTAAGAGTACTATGCTCAGTGTTTGCACTAGGTGAAGACATGGCTGCACTGGACCTGGTGAATCTAGGAGGACTAGACTAGGTACTGTGTTTGCACCAGGCGTAGACATGGCTACACTTTTCCTAGTGTATCTAGGAGGACTAGGCTATGTGTTTGGAATAGGTGAAGACATGGCTGGACTGGTCCTAGTGACTCTTGGAGGAGTAGGCACTATGTCTGTAGTTTCTGTGGTGTGGCTGCCGCTTGTAGTGAGGTGGCCTTGCAGTTGGCTGCTACTGGAAATGGCATTTGGTTTTGGGTTGGCATTCAAAGTGTTCTTAGGAGGCAAGGGATGTCTTGGCCTAGGCGGTGGACGGCCTACAGGCGAAGGCATGGCTGCACTTTGCCTAGTGATTCTGGTTGGCGTGCGCGGTGGCTACTGGTTCGCAGCCGCCATTGTTGCCACCTTTTGCTTCTTCTGCTGTGGGCAAGTTCCTAGAACCAATAGTCTTTCCTAGCAAGAGAAAAATGCATCTTATTAATTATGAAAGAAGTGTCAAGTAGATTAATTAACTACAATGAAGTATATATGTTTCAAATGGAGAGACCAGAAACTTGTTAATTGTCCAAGTAATCCATCTCACCTCAGTATTGACCTCATTATTGAGGTCATCATCAGAATTATCATCACTGTCAGATTGGTTATCAATGTCAGATGAAGGATCATACTCAGTGTCAGATTCTGGATTGTCAAATACTAGTCTCTTCCCTTTGCCCCCTTTCTATTTTGAAAAAAATGTCACTAACAGTCTGAGCTAACACCGGAATACTGAAAGACTTAAAAACTTCCTGAACAACCTTTACATTCGCATACCTCTCCTACTCGTACTTGGTTTTTGTCATTTCTTGTATTACTTATTACGACCAAACGTAGAAAGAGTAGAAACTGGATTCAGTTTTTGTAAAAGAGTTGAAAAAACCTAACAGATCAGTAGAGAAATTGTAAACGAACCAAAAAGAGCAGTCTAATAGTTAGTCAAACCATTGAAATTATAAATGAAACAAAATGGAGCTAATATCCTACTGCTTTGTGTATCTTGATACAAAGAGCATGTCGGGGTGCCTTTTTCTATGGGCTGTAGATGCAGCTAATATCATATTTCAATAAACATGTCACAAATTCATAATTCTTTTCTTTAGCATGTCGGGGTGAATAAAACAAGTATGAAATGGCAGTGCACTAACCAGCAGTCCTACACTAACGCTTAACAACTGGTGTTGTCATACACGTACAATTTAAATGATTGTTTACATTTTATCATCTATAACACAACAAGGCCAAAAGGCCATTCATGGTCTTTTGTGCTTCCCCACAGAAGTACTAGTGCAAGAAAGGGTCTAACTAACAAAGAAACCTCTAGGAAGCAAATAATTCACCACATCTGCCGACCAAGGTAACATGAGCTACAAGTTAGGGGAGAAGGGAAAGCAAGAAATGTTTGAGGAACTAACCAAAGCTAGCCGGAAGGGGACTGCGCAGACGACGAGGCCAGGGCTGGGCAGACGACGGCTGGAGGAGGAGGTGGCGCTCTGTGCGGAGCCATAGAGATCAGCCCGCAGAGGGAGTCAGAGCTGCCAGTTGTGGGATGGGCTGCTCTAGCCTCTGGCATTGGTGTGGTGGCAGGATAGGTGGCTCCACGCACCAGCATAGGAGTGAGGGTTGGATGGCCAAATCCGGCCTACGGCATTGGTGTGCCGGCGGGATGGGAGCCTCCGGCTTTGGGTGTTGGTGTGCCAGCGGGATGGGAGCCTCCAGCTTCGGGCATTGGTGTGGCAGAGGGATGTTCGGATCCGGCCTCTAGCGGTGATGTGGCCATGAGATGGGTAGATTCGGCCACGACGGAGGTGTGGCGCCGGGATGGGTGGCGTAGGAGTGGCGACGGGAGGTGTGGCGGCAACGGTGAGTGGCGGGTGGGGTGGTGGCAGTGGAGTGGCGGCTGGTGGTGAGTGGCGGTGGAGTTGGGTGGGCGGGGTGGTGGCAATAGAATGGCGGCGGGCGGTGAGTGGCGAGCGGTGTGGCGGCGGTGTGGTGGCAAGTGGAGGGAGGAGAAGGAGATTGGGTATTTCCCCTTGGTCTGACCCGCGGGCAAGAGGATAAGGTCAGGGGGGAACTTGGATGCCTTGAGTGGGAGGCGTGGTGGGGCCCATGTGTCGGTGAGCGAATCAACACGGGAGAGTGTGAGGTGCAACTTTGAAAATTTGGCCACATTTTTGTCCTGGCGCAGTGGGTCCACTATGTTAGTGACCGTTTTAGTAGTATTAGGACTTCAAATGGATTTTTTGGCTAATAAACGATTGAAAATGGAAACAATGTCTGAAACAAAGTTGTACAATGTGTCGAGATCTACCAATTTGGTTTTGGTTATTTCTTCGTATGACTTTATTTTGATAGTTTGAAATTTGAATTTCAAAATATTCAAACTTCTAACAAAAATTTGGGGTACTAAATAATTTCAAATTAAAAAGTGATGAACACAAAGGTTGCACAACTCATCAAGACCTACAATTTTTTGTTTTGGTCATTTGTTCATCCGACAAAGTGACAGTAACTTTGTTCACAAAAATTACATCTCTCACTTATAGTTCATGAAACTCTAAGAGAGAATGTAAAATTTATGAACTAAGTTACTACCACTTTCTCGGATGAACAAATGACTAATACAAAAAATGTAGGTCTTGATGAGTTGTTCAACTTTGATGTTTGTGATTTTTTTAGCTGAAATCATTTGGAGTTTCAAAATGTGGTGTAAAGTTGTAATTTTTTTATATTCAAATTTTGATTTGTTCAAACTTTGACACATGATGATGGAGCCAAAATCAACGCTATACATTGATAGATCATGATTTTAGAAAATTGTAGGAAAAAACATCAAATTTGGTGCTAGTATGTGGGAGAAAAACTTGTTAGAAGTTTTGCCATAGATCAAAAAAAGAATTGATGTTTGCACCACATGGGAGGCTAATGAGCATGCTAGGTCCGCATGTCATTAAAACTTTGGACCACATGGCACTCAAGGCTAATTAGCTGGAGCCTGGCTGGCCAAGCCACCTACAGAAGCGCCGCCCACCCTCACAAGCAGCCACGCCAGCCCCCTCCCACCCATCAGCAGCCTCAACGCCCCCCAGAGGCAGCCTGGTCGGCGACCACTACTGCTCCCTCGCTCATGCCGCGCAGGCCACCCGTGCTGGAGAATGGAGCCTACATCGGCGACCCTTGCTAGAGAGTGGACGCGTTGGCCACACTTGCTAGTGCCACGACCACCCGTGGTGGAGACTAGCAATCCACCCCTAGCTGGAGCCTAGCCGGCCACGCCATCTACTCCCATCGCCCCCCCCCCACCAGCAGCAGCGCCGCCCACCCTCACAAGCAGCCGCCCCGCCCCTCCCCCACAAGCAGCAGCAGCGTGCCCCCTCCCCCATCAGTAGCCTCGGTGCCCCCAGAGGCAGCCTGGCCGATGACCACAGTTGCTACGTCGCTCGTGCCACATCGGCCACCCATGCTGGAGAATGGAGCCTGCATTGGTGACCCTTGCTGGAGAGTGGCGACCCTTGCTGGAGAATGGAGCCTGCATCGGCCACCCTTGCTAGTGCCGCGCTGGCCACTCATGGTGGAGCCTAGCCATCCACCCTAGCTGGAGCCTAGCTAGCCAAGCCACCTGCTCCCGCATCTGCTACCTCGGCCCCCTCCCCCCCACTAGCAGCAGTGCCACCCAGGTCAAGATGGATAGAAGCTGGATTTATAACAGTGCCCCATTTACTGTGCCCTATTTGTCTAGTGTTGCACAATTCATGGAGCATGTCAGAAGTAGATATAATGTAGATGAGAAAATCAAGTGCCCATGCTGAAAATGCCTGAACCAAATAGAAAAAGCCAAGGTGAGGTACAGGAGGATATCGAAATCAATGGTATGTCTAGGTCCTATGCAAGGTGGATTGACCATGGAGAGGGAGATAATGATGTTGAACAAGATGATGATGGAGAACTCACTGTTGTACCTGAAGATATGTCATGGGAGGGAAATGACCAGGCAACACTTGATGAGGAAGGACAAGCTAAAGATGTCATAGAAGATAGTGCACGGGGAGTTTAGGGGTTGATTCAAGATTTGCACACTGCAGCAAGCCATGGCTTTGGTGGTAAGTTATATAAAGAAATCATGGAAGAGGCAAAGTGTGAGCTTTATCTAGGTTGCACCGAGGAATCTAGGCTAACTTTCATTATTAAACTGCTGCATATAAAAGTGTACAATCAGATAACAAATTCTAGGTTCGATGCTTTCCTTGAGTTGCTTTCGACATCTTTGACAAATGTGACCGGCCTCCCCAAGTCCTATAACGAATTGAAAGCTCTACTTTGGAAGCTTGGTTTTGGTTATGTTTGTATTGATGTGTGCAAGTATGATTGTGCCTAGGACCATGAAGACGATGATCATTGCCTAGTTTGTGGCTTCACAAGATGGAAAGTGAACAAGGAGGGCAAAAAGAAAGTTCCTCACAAGGTCCTTCGTTACTTTCCAATAATTCCATGCCTTCGAAGGCTTTTTATCTCAAAGCAGCGTGCACAATATGCAAGATGGCACAAGGAAATGAGGGCACCCGTTGAGAATGAAATGAGACATCCTGCTAATGGAGAAGCTTGGAAAGAATTTAATAATACTTTCAAGTCTTTTGCACATGATCCCCGTAGTTTGAGGTTAGCCATTGCTACTGATGGATTCAACCCATTTGGTCAGATGACCAATTCATACAGCATCTGGCCAGTGATAGTGGTTCCATACAATTTTCCACCATGGATGTGTATGGACCAATCCAATTATATGCTTGCTTTAATAATTCTAGGCAAAAATCATCGGGCAAAGATTTCTGTGTGTTCATGCAGCCTTTGATAGCAGACATGCTAACTCTTTGGGAAGGTGTCCCTACATATGATGCATATGATGGCAAAGAATTCAGTCTACGTGCAACGATTCTGTGGGAATCAATGACTACCCTGCATTAGGCA